CCCTGCAGGGGATGGATCTCATGATAGAAATAGATGAGGGGTAGCTCAGATGTGTCCTTCCCTGTCAAAAGCAACCACACTAGAGACTGAGGACGTTGCCTCTTCTGGAGAAGCTCAGTGGCAGGACCTTTCCTTGGTGGGGTGCTGCTGTGGGTTCCTGTGGTGCACTGGGCTGGCCAAGACCGCCATCAGAGCACTGGCATCCAATGCAACCTGTTTCCTTCAGTTCTTCTCCTGGTCATTTCTGCACAGCAGTATGGTCACAGGTCTCTGTAAGGGACTATGCACGTGCCAGTGCAGAGGTGCGTATTTGGGGAGGTATTCTGAGGGAAAATTGCTTCAAGGGGCTAGGTTCACACCTTCCCTTGGGCAGCAGTTTGTGACCACACAAGCACAGCAGTTGCAGACCCTATATGGCTCGGGCATCAGGGCATCCCCCTTCCCATGCTCCCTCCTTCATGCCTGTGCTTTAAATATACCTTCCTTTCACTGGCAACAGATGAAGGAGCTCTGCAAAGGAGAATGCCAGTGCTGCTGCTAGAGGTGTTCTTGGGCTCTGTGCTCCAGGCAGCAGCCTGCAATTGTTTATAGGGGAATACGAGTATTAATTTTAAAACAGAGGTATATAAATCTTTGAACAGCTTCCCTAGGTGCTGCTTATCCAATGCATTTCAAACAAAGCTGGACAAAGTAACTTCACAGGTGATTGGCTGCAGGACTGAAAATGAGACATGTCTCTAAGCACATGGAGAGCATTTGCTTTCCCATTTGATGCGACTTTGGGAGCACGCAGGTCAAATGCAGCAGTGTGGAGCACTGTGTGACCATACAGTGTCCCCCCATCCCCAGCCTAGGGGTCTCTCAGCCTTACTCAGGACAGCCTGCCAGGTCCTGGCCACGGCAGGCATCACCTCCATGTCCACACCACACATTTGCCTGGCTTGTAATGAGCCTGCACCTGGGACAAAAAGAGATGCATCTGTGCGCAAGGCACTGAAAAACAATGTTTGCAATGCTCTTCTGTGTCACTGCTATGCCAAGGCCACCACGTCCAGAGACCTTGTGTCCTTCAAGGTAGAGAGGGGGAGATGGAGCTGTAGAGAGGCATTCTGCTTTCCACTGAGTAGAGCACACCAAGGCTTTGTGACTTCTATCTTTAAATGCATCATGTCTTGCTCCTTAAGGAAAGCCACTTTCTGCTGCTGAGTCAGTGTCAGTGGTATCTGGTGTGAGGTGGGGGACCTGCACCTATCAGTGCAGTTGTAGGTGCACAAAGGGGTGTCCTAGAAGGGCAGGAAAGCCCAAGTATGACTTGAGCTAGGGTAAATTAATGAATCACATCCCTTGTTTCTACAGGGTCACACAAAACTCATGTTATAAAACAAAATCACTAAGCCCAGTAACTAACATAACCAAGCGTTTAACATTTACCTGCACTGTAATGGCAGAGCATAAGTGATTTACAGTTACATAAAATCAATGTGGAGAATGCAGGTATGTTTTAATAACTCCCGAGATTACATACTCCTTTGTTATTTATCTGTTTACTACAATTTTCTTGCAAAAGTAAAGTCTCAAGCAACATCCTCTAGAGCAGGCCGATGAAGCACAGCAGATTTATGCCTGCTAAAAGAAAGCACAGGCTCCTCTATTATTAATATGTAAAGCCTGGAGATGAAGTCACATCTGTATGATGATCTATTTTGGTGGACCATGCGTGCTTAAATCCCAGCCTTGGTCTTTTAAACTATCAAGTCTGCCATAAATATTTGATGATGAACAAGCTCATAAAAAGAAAATGCCAAATATGAATAGAGGGAGAGCAAATGTGTGATTCAATTTTTAATTACTATCACCTTACTCTAAAGCTGAGCTCATCTTCTGTGAGACACAGAAAGTAACAAATTTCTTTCTTGCCATAACCTGATCTAAATGATCAGCACTGCATTTGTTTGTATTTTTTAAATAAAAGGATGTCACCATAGAAACAAAAGAACTAGGGAGACAAGAAATAAGGTAGAACAGTCTGGTTTTATTACCATGTGTAATCAAGAGCTTTTATTTCCCCTTTTCTCCTCCTTCTGTCTTTTTATTTCTTGGTTGGTTGTTTTGTTGCGTTGGTTTTTTTTGTTTGTTTGTTTTTGTGATTTGTTTTTGTGTCTTTTTTGTTTTGGTTTGGATTTTTTTACAACATACACTACGTTGTGAGTCAGATGTCAGAGGGCTGTGGAAATGAAGGGAAACTGGTGACATCACAATACTTTACAACTTTACAACAAATGACAGTCTGAATTTGTTGTATCTACCAGTGTATAGCAAGGGTGGAAAGCAAAGGCACACATAGGTTCATGAAAACCTTGAAACTAAGGGTGGAAGGGAACTGGGAGAGGGAAAGCATGAAAATGGGATCCACCAAATACAAAATGCAAGTTTCAAGGTCAGCCCGGTAACTGGTACACTGTACATTGTGAAGGCAGATGGCTGCACAAGCTGTTGCCATGATTATTCGCCTCTATGGTTTTGGGAGACTGCTTTGAGGGGTAATATGAACGGGACCTGTGCATTTGGTTCTCCAGGGGTTTGGAGGTTAGTACAAAGGCTGTGAGTTTGTTCTTATTTTATTTATTTTTTTTTAATTGCCTTGCTATCTATTGTTTTCAAAGGGTTTTCTGTTTGTTTTTATTAAAACAACAACATCGCTTTGGACACAGAACTATCTACTCCAGTCTGCATAGTTCACTAAGGGTGAACAAAACTGTTTCATAAAAGAAGCCATGATGAAATGAAAGAACATGCAAGCACCCTTGTTACACACTTTGGTCTAGACCATCCAGACTTTATATATAACATCTATAAGCTAATGGACTTAAAATCTGTCTTTTCAATCATTCAGAAACAAAACCAAAACCCTGAAAAACAAATGGAAGTATAAAATTTTAAAAAACAAATTGAAACAAAAACCACCTTACTCAAACATACTGTTCAGCAGAGAGAGAGAGAGAGAGAGAGAGAGAGATATAAAAAGCTTAGAAGTGATCCCCATCATTTTTCTACAGTATGTTGACACAGTTATTATAACAGATTAAAAACACATCTATGTTTTTGCATAAACTGAAAGACTGGAAAGGAACTTACACACCTGCGTGCACACGCACACACGCACACACCTGTGCACGCACACACTTGCACACTAGCTACATGCACAGTCACACAAAAGAAACAAAGGAAAAAAAAAGCATTTTTCCCCAAAGAAGTATATGCAGCATCCTTGTGGTGCAGCAGGTAGCTACAGAAGGAGCCCGCCCGCCTGTCCTAGCCCCATGGGTCCTGTGTGCTGTGGGACGTGCAGCCGGGTGGCCTGTGGGGCTTGGCCCCCCTCTCCGGTGCTTGTCCCCCGCCAGGGAAAACACCTGCTCCATGGACAAGGGTGTTCTTGGTCACTTCCCTGCTGCCCAGTGAGAGTGATCACCCTGCTTCTGTGTGGTAAAGGGTGAGCAGGAAGTGGGGGAAGGCAGACCCCCCAGCATGGTGCTTTGGGAGCATGGTTGTTTGTGGGTGGTTTTGAGAGAGGCCTTGGCACAGCTAGAGAGTCAGACTGAAGCGGAGGGTATGGTGCTAGCCTAATTTCTTGAGGGACACAGGTTATGACAATAACCACCATGTTCTTCTTTGAATGTCTTTACTCCAGTTCTTGAAGGGGCTTGGAGGAGAAAGGATCAATAAATATTTGCATTACTCAAAGGGGAAAAGAAAAAAGGTTTTACATACTACAGCTCACAAGTATACACAACTGAGGGTGTAAGGCACAAATTTACATGTGGAAGAAAACAGGCTATTCACAGATATATTCCCACGAAAAACCCGTGTGATAAGACCATAATTTATGCATGGTAACAGCCGGCATATTAACTAGTTCACACTGTTTTGAGGATTTTGTTTGCCGTCTCACATGCAAGGTGAAATGAGATGGCACATCACAAGCTGGTGCCTTCACAGAAAGTATTAGCTACTGACAAAGCCATGTTGATAGCAATGGTGCACAAATGTGCGGCTTTTAAGAGTTTCTCTTGCAGTTGTGTTAGAAGTTATGAACTTGTGGTATTTGTTGCTGTCTTAGGTCAGAGGCCCAGACAGCTAATTAGCTGAGAGACTTAAATAGATATCCCCTTTTTTTTCAGCTAATCAGGCAGTCCAGGCAGAAAGTTCAGAATTCCAGCTCCAACTTATCTAACTCAGTGAATTCATTGGAAAAATAAAAGTTTTAATTACTCCAGTTAATGGGTTTCACGTTAAATAGGTATAACTTTCAAGGTACTTCTGAAGAGCTGCTCACAGGATGATATGCAGAAGTAATTTCCTTAGGAAAAACAAAAGTTGAACAATAAATACGAGGAGCTACTTGCGTTAACAGTCACATGTTATTCATTAAAAGAGAAGGGTAGCAGAAATCTATGACATAGTTTGCCCAACACGGCATTTAACTGCTGTAACAAAATGGCTGTAACACTGACGGGCATAATTTCACAGTACCTGCACGTAGTAAACTTCTGCTATTGTTAAGTCAGAGTTAGCTTTATCAATGGATTATTTTTTTTCTTTTTCTTTCCTTTTTTTTTTTTTACTTATGCAATCAGTTGTTTCACCATCTGTGGAAAAGAGAAGCCTATAGCAGCTAGTGGTGCAAATTGTTTTAGCACCTGAAGGTGTTGTCTTTCACCTGTGTGCTTTTGGCTCAATGTTTATGATGGAGGGTTAGTCTTCTGAGCAAAGAACTGATGGGTTGTGGGGATGAGCCCTGCAATTGCAAGCCTTCAGCCATGGGTTATATGGCTCGGGTTTAAAAAAATATTCTACTTTTCCCAGAGTGCAGAAATGCAACACGTCTTCAGCTTGCAACAACCATCTTCTCAGAGGAGCGAGTGATAACAGTTGCAGAACACTGGTTTTCAAGGGCAACCTCTGGTTAATTGCTGTCCTCCCTCCCCCCCACCCCACTCTGATTATGTACACATGTCATTGGGCTTCATGGACGTGGAGAGTGGAGCAAAGGAAGGCTTGGGAGGTACGTCAGGCTTTAGCGAGGGCGTGCGTTTCACCCCTGACCTCGTCAGTGAGTTGTAGGCAGTGAGACTCGGCTGCCGAGATACAGTCACAGCCTGTGCCTGAGCAGCGTGGACTTGTATTGAGTCCACCCGCTGCGGGGCCGGTGGTGGGTTGTCACCCCGGCCGAAGCTCTGATTACGGGAGAGATGGGATGAATTGGAGGAGTTAGTGTTGTTTCTTTTGAGGGTTGATGTCTGGTGACTTCTTGTGAGCGAGTTTGTAGGATAGCTTCTCTTGTAGTCCACGTTGTAAGCAGAAGAGTGCATCTCCAGCCGCTTGCTCAGGCCACTCTGCGACAGCGAGGCGCTCGGGGGCCCGAGGGAAGCTTCCCGCTGTGGAACTTTTGGTGGCATGCTGTCGAGATTTTCCACCAGGTTAACCCCGTGGCTGGGGCTTTTGCTACTGAGATGGTCCTTGATAGTTTTGTACTCAAGGGTGGCATTCTGGTCCTCCACAGACATCTGAGCCCCATCACTCATTTTTGGCTGGTCAACGTACTCATGCTGGTAGCCTTGCTGGGCTATGGGCAGGACCACAACACTAGGAATGTGGCTAGGAGAAGCCCTGAGTGGCAGGTCTGTTGGGATCACGGGGGATGCCATTGGGGGGATATCTTTTGTGCAGGCATTGATGAGGTTCTGGTTTCTCTCCCATTCCCTGCTGCCACGGCTGGGCTTCCTCTTCTGTTGTAGGGTTGGGGTGGACTCAGGGGTTGGCAGGGCGGCCAGGTCCAGATGGTGCTGGTCAGCTTTGATTAACATCTTGGCAGTGCTGCCTGGGGTAGTCAGCTTGCCATTGTGCATCAGAGGCGTGAGGATAGCTTCAGGCTTTGGCTCCTTGGACTGAGTGTCCCCAAAGAGGCCACTGAGCTTGGTAACACTGCTCATGGAGCCGCGGCGGGAGTGGGTTAGCTCCTTCTCCTTCCTCTGCACAACAGCCACGTCTCTGCGGCGATGGTCACAGATGCAATACACTATGATCCCCGAAAAGACGGCCCCCATGACAAAAGCAAGAATAACAGCAATGGCCAACAGGGTGACTGGCACCAGCTGATCATGACCCTTCAGGTAACTCTCACGAATCACTCCTGCAATAAACAGCATACAGTGGTTAATAAATTGAGGAAAAGCTACTTATAATTAATTACTTTGTTCAAAGACACACCCTGAGAGGTTTGTTCACATTTTGTAAGGTGATTTTTGATCATCTTGTCCAAATTTGGAGACATACTGTACCTGCCAGCTTATGCAGACTTACGCTGTCAGTACACCTTTCAGATCTGGAGATGAAGACTACAAAGTTCAGGAGGAGGGAAAGAATTTAATTGCAGGGCAAGTGCAATTGGTTTGAAATTCTGGTCCTGGGCAATTCACACTGACTTCAGCAGGTCAGTGATATAATTTCTCCTCCTCTAACGTAGTGTTCATTCCTCTTCTCTCTCTACCTGATCTGTCCTCAGACAAAACCATCTAATTTTTACTACAGTAATCCATTCATATTGAAAAATGAGAGGAGACAGAGGTCTGCAAACACCAGAGAAGTGCATCCCTCATTGTTTAAGGCTTCTTTCGCTGCACATCATTCTGTTATTCTTGTCATGTGTTTTAAAGTCAGTGTCACATGCCTGAGCTTCAGGAGGATGCTTAGATAACTATGGAAGATAAAGCAGTGTTGAAATCTATTGAATCTGCTAGATGACTGTCCTTGCTATTTTAATTTTAAAAGATCTCTCTTGTTCTGAACACATGAATAGGTTGACCTCTGTGAAGAAGCCAATGCTTTCTCAGCTGAAAGCCCTGATTCTGAGGGCCTCATCTTGTGGTCCTGTGCTGTGGTCAGTGATCACTGTCAAATCTCACTTGGCCCTCCAAACACCCACTGTCAGAGAAGGCGTCTTTGGCAGAGTGTGCCTCCTCCATCTGAGGTCCCTCATACAGCATTAATCAATACCATGAAATTCTGAAAAAACAGTAGTTTTTTTCTGACATAGCTGGGCACCAAGCCAGCAACACTAATGAAAAGCAAGCACAAAGCCTCTATTTTGTGCTTTCCCCACCCCCCCGCCCCGTTTCTGGTTTTGTTCTTAGTGCTTAACAAGGAGCAGCAACAGCCTGACAAGTTGCTGAAGAAGCATCTCTCCCACCTCTTTCTCCAGAGAGGGCCCAAGTGCCAGGGCATTAAAAACTCCACATACTCAAAGGAAATGTAATCCTTGTCCTTATTACAGGAGAGACAGGAAGACAGAAAGTGTACCTTCAAGGCTCTCCTGAGACTCTGTAAAGTTACAAAACTTCCATGCCATCAATCAACTCCTTCTAGAATAATGTATTTTCATGTAGTTGGCAGACAAGGTATTAGTAGTCCAGAATTAGAACCAAATGCAAAATACTCCTCAGCAAAATAGGTTAAAAGAACATTGAAAAGTTGCCACTATTTCACATAAACTTTTTATAAGTATTCTGGCCAGGTAAAGTATTGCTTCTATAGCATATATTTTTCTGTCCCAATTTAATTGCAGCATTTATGTGGACAAGGGATATTCACTTACAAGATAGGAACTTCACATTTAGAAGCAAAACAGCTCTTGAAATCATAAGCCATTGCGTGGGACATCACGGCTGGTTGCCACAGAAATTACTATGCTGTGACAAATAGAGGACTATGATTTCAAAAGGAGAATAAATAGCAAAAGCAGATAATCACTTAATAAAAGATGATCCTGATTCATGTGAATGTCTTAATAGTAAAAATGTAAGGAGAAGAAAGCAAATCTCAGAAAACAACACATAATTAGAAACAATCTTCAAATTAACTCTTTCTAACAGAATCCTCTTTAAAAGCCCACCAGCTTTTTAAGAGGGAAATTTTTCTGTTCTTTGTCATCAGCACTTAACAGGCAGTCATAGAACCTAGCCCTGTAATTTAAATCCACATACAAAATTGCTGTATATAGACCAGAGGCACAGTCTGGTGGTTACAGTACACTCAGCACTGACTACATCTTACTGCAAAGCTGTTGATGTTCTGTGGACCTTACACCTGCTGATATTTACATGCTACAGTGTGCAACATTTTGAGACCACATTTATTTACACTTGTAAAACTGACTGCAGTCATTAACTGGAGGATCAGAGAGTCTTCAGTGAGTAGGAAGGATGGTCAGGGAAGTGTTAAGTCTTAACCAGAAATGCATTGCTGGAAGTGAAGTTAAAGAAAGCTTCAACTTAAAAAGCCTTATTTCATGGACACCTTCCATGCACAAACTTCTCCAAGCTATGTCCCTTTGAGCAAAAATGTATTTTGCATGAAAAAGACTCAAAATACCAGCTCCCTGCCTACCTAAGGGTGCAAGCATTTATAGTCAATGGCAACACAGGTTCATGAAGGGAAAGTCATGCCTTACTAACTTAATATCCTTCTATGTATAGACTCGGGGACAAGAGGCTGAAGTGCAGCCCTTTGAAAAGATATCAAGAGGTTTTGGTTGATGGTATGAGTCAACAATGTGCCCTGGTGACCAAGACTGTGTTAAAACATTAGGGTATGTCCAAAGAAAGGCAACAAAGATGGTGAAAAGACTACAGGGCATAGCTAGTGAGGAACAGCTGAAGGTACTTGTTCCGTTTAGAGAACAGAAATGCTCATTGCTATCTAAACTTCCTGATGAAGGGGAGCAGAGAGGGAAGTGCTGATCACTCAGGTGTTCAGTGATAGGATAAGGGAATGGCTTAAAGCTTGCATCCATGCCTGACATTTTCTACTGGCTGAAAAGAGGTTGTTCTTTACCCTCAGCCTTCTGCTTTAGGCTAAGTCCTACTCTGTGAATGACAGTCATAAACGCAGACCTGCAAAACTGCATCCAAAAGCAATATTAAATCTTCAGTTTTACATTACCAATGGATATAGAATAATTATAACTCATGTTACAAAATTATCACACAGTTCACACTGAGTGACCATGTATGTTCAAGAAAGGGGTAGCTGAAATTATGTTGTGCATGCTGCAGGTGTGTATGATCAGCAGAAGTGTGTGAGGGTTTTAAGCCAGCCTGATTTCAGCTCATCCATACTCTTGACTGTTCTCTGTAGTACATGGAGACATATTACCATGGATAATGAAGAGCTATTCTTTGCAGAGGGATATTCTTGACAGAATTAGCTGTATTAACATTATACTCAGGAGAGGTCTGGTGGTAAAAATAGTAGTGAAACTGGAAAAGACATAGATGAGGTAAAATATTTGCATCTTCAAGGATCAGACCTTACATTTTGCTAATGGCATAAACGTGCTGACACTTATCTATCTCCCTGAAGTCTTCCAGTTAAGTCATCCTCTGTCTCTTGTCAATCACAACTGATCTTATGACTTCAGGGTCTTCCCATTATTATTTCTGGCCACTAGAAAAGGCAGACTCATCACCTGATATCCTTCACTCTTCATGACCATTATGATTCCTGTAGACAACCTGATCTTTCTCCTCCACTAACTTTCTGTAATTTCATCCGGTGTCCTTTTGTCTGCATCTCCTCACATCACCATTCATTTTCTCAGTCGGTATGCCCTGTACTGTGACAGTCTGGAACACACAAAATCACCACTTCTTACTCATCTAATGGGAGAGAAGACCTGATATGCTACTGTATTATTCTGCTATACATAATTAATTATTTTTTTTCCATCACAGCTTGTAGGTAAGGTACAAAGTGCTGGCTGGTTGATTAAGAGGATTTTAGGAAAAATATATCCAAACTTTCAAAGTGCTTTGATTCTGAAATGAGCTAGTACTTAGATAAATGACAAGTAGAATTTATCTAGCATTATCTAGAATTTATCTAGCATTTATCTAGCATGTTAGCTAAAAGTAGTTAGGAGCAAAGAAAAAGTAGGGGATGGTAAATTTTATGTCAATAACATACTTTTTCTAAAGTTATGGAAAAGGTGAGAAACAGACTTGTTGAATGTCTCTCGGTGAATGCAAGAGTGAAAATAAAAGATCAGAGATGATACAATTATATAGCTCCACTGTAGATTAGATTATTGTAAGCAGCAAAGAGATGAGGTTTCTTCTTTTCACCAATTAACAAAACTATTCCAGGGATATGACTCTACCTCAATATCTGCTACAAAACAAATGAAAAAGCAAGATGTGCACGGTGTAAAAAGTATTATTGTATGAAAATACTGATTAAGTTGTTCTGGGCATGTTCTGCTCCTTCTAATTCTAACAGAGAAGAACTTCAGAGGGTAGAAATGTAATTAGGATGAAATAATCATATAGAAATAGAGTTTATAATTCTGAAGAATACATGGCATGAGCATAACTGGAAAAGAATAATGAGTATCAGTACAACAAATTTCAAGAAAGGAGGACAGATAAGGAAAGATATGGAGACTAAAGCATTAACTCCTTGTCCGGCTTCATCTGTGGTCAGGTATGTAACAAAGTCAGGGAAGAAGTGTTGACCAGAACAGAGAAAAGAGATAAAAATATATAGGTAACGTATATATTTTTATGTTGCATAAAGGAATTTGTCCCAGGCTGTATAAGGAGCCAGCCCAAGGAACTTTTAAACACTATCTTGGAGAATGCTGGAGGAAGCATGAGAATCCAGAGCTCTGTAAAATGACATACATTTTGTCTGCCTTTGAGATGAGTCAAAGTGAGGACCTAACAAACAACAGACCTGCCAGTCCAAGTTTTAGAACAGGAAGGACACTGTAACAAGTGATTAAACAATCTATTTAATGTGCATCCAAAGGATGAACAAAACAAACAAACAAAAAAAAAAAAAAAAGAAAAAGCAGCAAAACAAATTTGCAAATACTAAATTACATTAAAACAAAAAAAAAATTCCTTAATCTGACAGGATAAATAGCTTACTTTTTATGGGGAAACATTAAGAATGATACTCTTTGACTTCTGCAAAGTCTTTGACTTATTTTCTCAGAAGCAAGAGAAAGAGAGCTAAAACTTGCTGAAAAACTGCATTTGAAAAGTATTGATCAAAGGGTAGCTGGAAAGATATCTGAAGTATGGTGGCTGTCTTAGGAGAACAGCAATTAATAAGCATCTGCAGAAAGGAGAC